TAATTTTCGACGTCTGCTGCGGTTCTCTCACTAAAGAGTACTTGCCCCAAACCTGAATCTATGCGTCCAGGAATTCTTCTTTTTATATACCATCTTTTTTCTTTCCCAACCAACATAAACGTTACACAGGAAATCAATTAGCGAGGGGTGGGAACAAGACAGACTGGGTCGCAAGACACTCTAGAAATGTTTGACTCACATGTATTTCTGAAACCCATGCACAAGTGTCTCCCTGCTCAGATGCCTGACACTCTATCTCTCTTCCGGGGAGGCAGGGATGAATTTCCGACAGGATAACTGTGCATAACTGTTTCCTTGTAATGACTTTCCCCCCACTTGGTCCATCCTGACAGACACATACACACCTCGGGGAAATGGCAGCAGCACACTCCCTTTGACAGAGCGCCTGCCTCCTGATTAAATCTCTCTGATGCCTCTCATTGCGAGAAGCGGCTTCTGGCTAATTAGCAGTCAGAGCAAAATCCGTCTCTGATGCAGAGACATTAATGTCTTTTAACCTTTTCTTCTCAAGGAAGCCTTTCCACCCTTCATCTCCTTGTTTAAGCTTTGCAAAGCAACTTTTCATGGAGGTCATCGGAAGTAACGTGAAATTCTCTCTCCCCCCTAAAAAACATTACATCTGTCCCTATAAATGAACTACAGAGACGAAACTGTGCAATGGTGTTCTAATGTATTGATAATTAATAATGAGAATATTTAATGGACAGTGATTAATAATTAACTCCCCCCATCTGTTTTCCCATGGGGTCTGGCTAAAAGTCAAACAAATTAAATCAAGAGTGAAATACAAATCATAGCCTCATAGAACTGTAGAGGGACCCTGAGGCTCATCTAGTCCAACTCCCAGCAATGCAGAAATATGCAGCTGTCCCATACAGGGATCGAACCTGCAACCCTGGGTTATCAGACCATGCTCTAACTAGCTGAGCTATATCCCCAAGCTTAGTCTAATCCGGAGGTTTTCAAACTTTTGAGTCCACGGCTGCCTTGGCCAACTACATTCTTTCTGCGGCACCCCTGGGGGTCTCAGGAGCCCAGTTATGTCACCCTTTGCTTGCAGAGCACATATTTAGATGTGCACCTGTTTGATTTCCACCTGCCCTGTCTTACTCCCAAATACAGTGGTACCTCGGGTTACATACGCTTCAGGTTACATATGCTTCAGGTTACAGACTCCGCTATAGTACCTCGGGTTAAGAACTTTGCTTCAGGATGAGAACAGAAATTGTGCTCCGGTGGCGTGGCAGCAGCAGGAGGCCCCATTAGCTAAAGTGGTGCTTCAGGTTAAGGACAGTTTCAGGTTAGTAAAGAACTTCTGGGAAATGATATATAATGAGTATAATGAGATGAAAAAGATGTTGAAATATACATTTTTTTAAAAAACAGAAGCATTTTTACTTGGTATTATAGGTCAGGACATTAATAGGCAAGATGTTAAATTGTTTTTATATGCAACAACAGCGGCAAGAGTATTGTTAGCCCAGAAATGGAATCAAGAAGAAATTCCGACGAAAGAAGAATGGCAGACGAAATTAATGGACTATGCAGAATTGGACAAAATGACAGGAAGGATTCGAAACCTGTGGGACCAGAGATTTACAGAAGGTTGGAAGAAGTATATGAATTATTTGAAGAGCAACTGTAATCATTTGAAGAGCAACTAGTAGGACTACAAGAAGTTTTGTAAGGAGAATATACGAAGTGTTACAAAGTAGAAAAAGATAGAGATATGGTTATGACTTTGAAATGTAACAGGGAAGATAAGAAATGCATACTAAGAGATTAGATTGGAAAATTTTCAGACAGGACTGATGGAAGTAAAAAATTTGAATAAGATAATAATAATAATAATAATAATAATAATAATAATAATAATAATAATAATTTATTTGTACCCCGCCCATCTGGCTGGGTTTCCCCAGCCACTCTGGGCGGCTTCCAACAAAGATAAAAAATACACTAAAATGTCACATATTAAAAACTTCCCTGAACAGGGCTGCCTTCAGATGTCTTCTGAATGTCAGGTAGTTGTTTATCGCTTTGACATCTGATGGGAGGGCGTTCTGATGGGAGATGTAAAAGTATGTTTAATTACTGTTGAAAATGATATGTTAAACACACACACACACACACACACACACACACACACACACACACATATACCAGTATATATATATATGAACAGTTTCAGGTTAAGAACGGACCTCCGGAACAAATTAAGTTCTTAACCCGAGGTACCACTGTAGCTCCTAGTACCATACGTTTCCAAATTGCCCAAACCTGCTGATGCAGGCAAATTCATTGGATTCTATTCCAAGTGAAGATAACTGGCATCTGGGGGCTTCTCCAGATGTTTTGGAGCACAACTGCTATCCGGCCCAGCCTAGCTTTGGTTCCCACCCCAAACATCTGCCTAGCCTCAGGTTGGTGAAGGTTGCAGCTGGAGGGGTTGTTTGAGTTTTAAGTGTGGCAGCAGTCTGCACCTGAGGCACAAGGGAAGGGGTGGAGGAATAGAAATACAGTGGTGCCTTGCAAGACGAAATTAATTCGTTCCGCGAGTTTTGTTTTCTTGCGATTTTTTTCGTCTTGCGAAGCACGGTGTCGGGAAAGTTTTGGAAAAGCTTCAAAAATCACCAAAGTCTTTAAAAACCTCAAAAAAGGCTACCACACCGCGTTCTATGAGTTGCTCCTCGAAGTCAAGTCACAACTGTATTAACGGTGTTAAGAAAAAGGAAACAAACTTGCAAGACGTTTCCGTCTTGTGAAGCAAGCCCATAGGGAAAATCGTCTTGCGAAGCAGCTCAAAAAACAAAAAACCCTTTCCTCTTGCGAGTTTTTTCTCTTGCGAGGCATTCCTCTTGCGAGGTACCACTGTATGCCCTTTTAGTGCAGAGGTTTTCAACCTTTCTGAGTCCACGGCTCCCTTGGCCAACCACATTCTTTCTGCGGCACCCGTGTGGGGCTCAGGGGCCCAGTTATGTCACCCTTTGCTTGCAGAGCAGGCAGCCTCTCACCCTTTTTCGAACACACTTCCGTGTAGGGTGTTCCTTGAGCCTCCTCCCCTCTCCCCTCTCCTTGGGAGTCCTCCGGGCAGCCGCCCCTGGTCTCTGAGCTGCCCCTAGGAGAGATGCCTCCTCACACTGCCCCACAGGGACTTGGGACTTGTCTGCCCATTCCCAACAGCAAGGGCTGGTGGGCTGGGCTCCCTCGCCCGCTGGCTTGCTTGCTTGCTCCTGGCAACCAGCAACTCCTGACCAACCCCAGAGGCACCATTCGCCTGCGGAGCTTGGAGCCAGGGCTGCTGCAACAAACAGCTGTGCAAACCTTTGGGAGGCAGAGATGCAAAAGCGCATCAGAGGAGGGAGAGAAGGAAAGAGGGACAGAGGCCTGTTATCCGCAGCACCCCAACCATCATTGAAGGCACCCCAGGGTGCCACGGCACACTGGTTGAAAACCACTTATCCAAAGGTAAGTCTGTGTCTGACTGAGCTTGAGTCTGGACTAAGGGTTCTGAGCTCATGTGTTTTGATTCGATACATTTCAGAACATTTCAGGATTTGGGCCTCTACCATTGGCCCTTGAATTCTGAGTCGTGATTCGCAGCTTGGAAGTTTAGACAGCCAATCCTGCAGGGATTGGGAGTGGCCCAGGCTTTCAGGTATATAAGCAGTTGCTTTGCCCCTGTTACCCAGCTATGTAGCTCAATAAAGGTTCTTGCTGTTATTGCTGTGTCTTGCTTTGTGGGAACCCACGTACACTTCACTGGTGATAAGGTGGGATGCTAGGCTAGTCTTACTGACCAGTGATTTAAATCAAGTCTTATTGACTAGTTATTTAAATTGGGATTTAAATCAATTTGATTTAAATCAAATCCACCCTGGTTCTGATCAGGGGCACACCTTTTCCCTGTTTTTATAACGTAACTGCCCTGTGATCCTCGGATGAAGGGCAATGTGGAAATTTAAAAAATAAAATAAAATAAGACATAAGACCACTGCTCATGTATGCCACCACAGCAGCAAGAATCCTCATGGCAAGAAAATTGAAATATGAAAAAATGCTGACAATTACAGACTGGCAGATACTTATGCTAGAATACCTACAATAGCAAAATTGATGGGAAGAGTTAGAAGAGTAGTGAACCAGAAAATATTTAGAGAATGGAGAATATTTAAGGATTATATAAGATCATATTGTACCAACGATACAATACTAGCAGAACTCGAGTGGTACCTGTAAACAAAATGCATGACAAACATCGTTTTTGGAGTAAATAGGAACAATACTAAAGATTAGGAAACTGCGACAAAAAGAAAGATAGTATAAACAGTGCAATGAGAACGATTGGAAGACTCGTTTTATCAGAAGTCTTTTAATTTAAGTGTTTATTAAGATGTTAATAGGAAGATTACATATGTAAATTTGTTTTTGCTCCTTCTGTTTCCCCCTTCTTTTCTGCAATTTTTTCTCTCTTTTCATTTCTTTGCTTTTCTCTTTTTTCCTTTCTCTTTATTTTTTCTTTCTGCAACATGAGAGTGTGAATTTTTTGTAATTTTTTGTGTATATGTGTATAATTTACACTAGTAAAGATTACTTTTTTTAAAAAAAGGAAATTAAAAAAAACCAATTTGCATTTTCAAGCTGCTAGTTCTCTGTGTCCTCTCCCATCATTTCCTGCTCCTTATGAGATCCTACCCCCGGCCAGCCCTTAAAGCTGTGCCCTCACGCGCACCTGACAATTAAAGACCTCTGCACCCCTCTCCTACCCCAACACAATAGGGGCTCCGCCCCCCCCCCCCAGCCCACGTCCCGCGTGCAAAGAAGGCCGCCAAATCCCATATAGGAAGAAGAGGCGCCTCCTCCTCCTCATCCCTCCCGGAACTTTGGCGCCGAGGAGACCGGTTTCTACACGGACGGATTTGAATAGGGACTCACGCGCATGCCCAGAAGTGTTCGGGTGGACAATAACCCGGAAGTAAAGGGGGCGCTGGCTGTGCTCCCCCAAAATAAGTCCGGACTCCTTTCCCCCCCATTTCCCTTTTTTTCATTTTGGAAAATAGGATGTATTCCGCGGGGACGGAGAGCTTCTTGCGCCAGGCCAGGTAGGGAGAGGCAAAATGGGGGGGGGGGGCTGGGAAGGGGGAGCCACGGGGGGGGGAAGCAGAAGCCCTCCAGAGGCTTTGGGTTCCAGCTGCTTCTTTGAGGGGAGGCTGAGTTGGGGCTTGCCAGCTTCCTCTTCTTTATTAATATTACTACTATTATGTATTTATTTATTTGTGCCCCGCTTTTTGCCCTGGCAGATACTCTTTTTTGTGTGCTTTTTGAGTGCTTTATTGATTGAACACTTTATAACAGAAAACTGTACAATAGATATTATAGGCAAAATGAGGAATACAAAATAAATGGTTCTTCATTCTTTAACTAATGCATGCTTTGGACTTCCAAAGTACTGTTAGATAGATAGATAGATAGATAGATAGATAATTTATTACGGTTGGAGACCAGCTTATAAAACACACTTGGGGGTACAACCCCAGAAGGAAAACAAACATTTAAAACAATGTACAACAATAAATTTAAAATTTATAAATGTGGTAAGCATATAAACACTTAAAACTTTAATCCAAAGTACTGTATTTTAATATTTTGTTGGAAGCCGCCCAGAGTGGCTGGGGAAACCCAGCCAGATGGGCGGGGTATAAATAATAAATTATTATTATTATTATTATTATTATTATTATTATTATTATTATTATTATATTTTCTTATTGCAACAGCCCTGTGAGGGGAGGTTATGTTGAGAGGCAGTGACTGACCCAAGGACACCCAGGGAGCTTCACGGGATTCTGTGAAATGTGGAGACTTCCTCTCGGTTAAGATATAAGGACACAGAAAGAGCCTTGCTTATCAGGCCAGTGGCCCGTCTATCCTGTTCTCATGATGGTCAACCAGATGCCTCTGGATAACATGCAATGCTCTGGTTTGCTCCTTGCAAACCATTTTCATAATGGAAATAGAGTATGCAAGGGTCTGTCTTGTGCTTTGCCAGCCCATGAGCCATCCAGCCCATCCAGTTGTCTCTGAAATTGCCAGCAGAGTGTTTCCCAGCCCAGTGTATGGCAAAGCAACTACTGTCGTGGTTGGCAAAGGCCCGATGTGGAAGCTTGCAAAACGGAGATTTCTTAATTTCTATATGCTTTCCTATTAGGGAGATCCAGGATGAAGAACTGAGAAAATTCATTTCACGAATCACAGGCTTTCTCCAAAATCAAGACTTCGGAAATGAGACTGTTGATAGCTTGCAAAGACTGTTTTTGATCGTCTCAGCCACTAAATATGGACGGAAGTAAGTGAAGGCAAATGCTGGTTTTAATGAGTCCAAGCAAACATCTGTATCATATTTATAGCTCTGTTAATCAAATGCTACAAGTGTCTCTGTAGAACTACGATGTGAGTGGCTTTCCTTACCTTGGGCTGGTTCTCTTTCATACTGGTGTCAGTAGAATATAACAGAAATATTAAAACATCTTTTTAAATATTTTGAAATTTTAAATATTAAAACATGCTTTTTGCAGGATAGATGGCAAATTTCTGGAACTTCTGCAGACAGTATTGCATCTGCCAAAGACTCCTGAGCAAGTCCAGTTTCTTTGTGCTGCCATCCTGAGAGAGACGTCGCTTTGTAATGATTTATCTGTGTCTTGGGATAACATCCAGGACACCAAGCTCCTGAGCCTTGCCTTCTCCATCGTGCTAGCCCAGGTAAGTGAACTGTGGTTTTGGAAAGACCACAGTTTGGTTCTTTGCTTTGTTTCCCTGTGATTGTGGCCTGTTTCACACCCAGATTTTGGACATGGAAAGTTTTATCTTGTCGTTTTTTAAAAATGCTTCCCCATCTGGCGAGATCTGGTATTTGCCAAATTCCAGGCATCCTAAACTTTTCTTAGTTGTTCACTCAGAGTCTTAAAATCTTTCGAACCCTTCAAAATCTTTGCTTTTATCCAAAGGGCAGTAAAAAGGCAGCAGTGGAAGCTTTTGGGCAGCGTGTGGTGAAAGTCCTGGAAGGCAGGCTTCCTGAAGGTCAGAACGCACGGCACCTTCTCCCCCTCCTTTCAAAAATCATCAGCTTTCTACCGATGAGCCTTAATGAAGGTAAGTGCAAGAAGTGGGCAGGCTGGTCGTATCTACTTTGGGTTTTTTACTAGAACCCCAACCTCTGAGCTGAGGAACCGAACTAATCTGAGAGTCCTTTCACACAAAACTTCAATCCTTGTTAGCGTTCTTCATTTTTAAGAGCCTTGTGAGAAAAGTCATCTGGTTGTTGCTATTCTGAGACACTAGGGAGTCTGAAATCCTTGCTGATCTCCTAGAGATCTGCCGGTAGATCCAGATCTGCCTTCCGTCCACCGCTCCTGTAGAAAACAACCAAGTTAGTTTGAGGCTGGGACTTTGAACATTTGTTTTAGTCCTTTGAAACTGTAAACCACTGTGGGTGCCTCAGCAGAAAGGCAGTATATCGTTCAGCCCGGACACTGAGGTCCAGCTCTGAGGGCCTTCTGGAGAGTCCCTCACTGAGAGAAGTGAGGTTACAAGGAACCAGGCAGAGGGCCTTCTCGATGGTGGTGCCCGCCCTGTGGAACGCCCTCCTGTCAGATGTCAATGAAATAAACAACTATCTCACTTTTAGAAGACATCTAAAGGCAGTCCTGTTTAGGGAAGTTTTTTTATGTCGATCATGTTTTTAGTATTCTGTTGGGAGCCACCCAGAGTGGCTGGGGAAGCCCAGCCAGATGAGTGGGGTATAAATAATAAAATTATTATTGTTATTATTATTCAGACTACTCTTCCCCAGTGTAGTGCATGGCGTATGTTTTGGCCATGCCAAATTTGGTACTGTGGGTTTTGTCATCCAGAACTTCCGGAGGGGAGCAGTTTGAAGAAGGCTTTTAAAATGTTTTGAACCATGCTGAGGTCTGTGGATGAAGGGCAATATACATAATAATAATAATAATAATAATAATAATAATAATAATAAATAACCTAGACACTGCCAATGTCTAAAGCAGGTAGCTGTTCTGCCCAACTTAGGCAGTCACCCAATATATTTTCAGCCAGTATTACAGAGATGAGGTTTTAGAGGCTAAGGGGTTTGCTGTTTCACAGGAGCAATTAAGTGCCATAAACATAGGCTGCATCCAGCCCAATGAAATTAGGAAATGCTGGCGGTGTTTATAGAAGGGTAGTCTCTTCTGGTTCCTGATAACAACCCTAGTTCCAGCCTCTTTTCTCCACAGATGAGGATGCGTGGGTAGAATAAATTGTGGGTGTTAAAGATGCAAATTCACAGGAACAGCTCTTCTGTTGATCTGCAGAGTTTGCTTGCTCCTGGCCCCAAGCACTAAGCTCTTCTCTGGACAGTGCAGGGGCAGATGAAGCTGTAGGTGGACCCGAGGCTGCCTGATGGTGAACCATTGGTATTGCCAAGGCTTCCCACAGTCCTCTGTTGTGTCTTCCTGACGGGCTGTGTTGTTTTTGATCCATAGATCAGATCAATCTGCTCAGCAAAAGGATGGTGGACTGGCTGAGGTATGCCAGCGTCCAGCAAGGAGTCCCCCAGTCCTCAGGAGGCTTCTTCAACCCTCGAGCAAGACAGGTGCGGAACTGCAGCTCCAGGGGGCATGAACCCAGGCTTGCTTTTTAAGAGAAGGCACATGGAAAAACCACCCAGCGAGTCAAGTGCACAGACGCAGATTCTGCACTGGGGTGACCCTGAATCCTGCCCTTCCTCCAAGGAGCTCGGAGTGACTTGCATAGTTCACCTTTGCCCTTGCAGCAGTGGGAGTTTCCCCCAGGCATCCAGTTGGCCACTGTGAGAACAGCAGGACGCAGGTGGACCACTGGTCTGATTCACATGTCTGGCCTTTAAACACCTGGGCTCTCTGGTCCTGATTCTTCTTTCTAAGTAGCGGTTCACCCTGCTCTTTCTTCCGCCCCACAGCCTGGCCCCATCATGGAGGTGGACGGCACGGCCACCACGGACTTCTTCACTGTGCTCTCAGTCGGCCAGTATTACACAGAGGACCAGTGGTTCAACATGCAGGCCTTCTCCATGCTGCGGAAGTGGCTGCTGTGCTACGGGAGCAACGGAGCTAGTAGTCCAAATTCAGGTAAGGATCTAGAGAGGTGGAGGGGAGGGCACTGTGCATACAGCCAATGAGGAACATGATTGGCAGCCGCCATCAACACATCTGCTGTTATGGTAAGACACCAAGGGATCAGATGGGGAACAGCATTGTTTACAGCAGCATGCTCCATAACTGATAGATAATAAATACAATATTAGGTAAAGGTAAAGGGACCCCTGACCATTAGGTCCAATCGTGGCCAACTCTGGGGTTGCAGCGCTCATCTCGCTTTATTGGCCGAGGGAGCCAGCGTACAGCTTCCGGGTCATGTGGCCAGCATGACTAAGCTGCTTCTGTCGAACCAGAGCAGCGCACGGAAACGCCGTTTACCTTCCCGCCGGAGTGGTACCTATTTATCTACTTGCACCTTGAGGTGCTTTCAAACTGCTAGGTTGGCAGGAGCAGGGACCGAGCAACGGGAGCTCACCCTGTCACGGGGATTCGAACCGCCGACCTTTTGATTGACAAGTCCTAGGCTCTGCGGTTTAACCCACAGCGCCACCCGCGTCCCACTAAATACAATGTTATTGGTTTGTTATAATTAGGGGGGGCCCCTCTTCTTTTGGGTTGACATGTTATTTGTATTTCTTAAAAAAACAAAACCTCTCTCTCTCTCTATATATATATATGTTTAGTGAAGAGAGTGTGACTTTCCAATCACGAATTAAACCACGAGCTCTCACGAGGTTGCCTGTTGCAACCTTGCACAACCCACTGCTTATTCCAATGGGCTTCTGATGGGGGCAGCTAAGTTGTGCTGTGTCTCTGCATTGAGTGCGATTAGACCATTCAGTTGCACCTCATGCAGAGAGGCAGTAGAGTTACCGGCCCTTAGAGGAGCTGTGCCCAGAACAGAGACTCAAGCAGAAACATTGGGGTGGGCAAAGAAGTTAGGCCCTTCTAAGTCTAGGCAGTGTTTACCATCTTGCGGTCTTAAAAGTAAACACTCTTGTATGAAAAGAATGAGCTGCACTTTCAATTTTAAGTGAGTTAAAATGTGTGTTAGAAATTTAGGGGACCTTTGAGGAAAATAGGAAATTGACAGAGATAGATATTTACTTAATAATGATTTGAAATTTGAACTTGAACCTGCTTAGTATGTTGGTAGGTTCTTAGCCTTACAGTCACACCTTGGTTTTCTAACAGCTTAGTTCTTGAACGTTTTGGCTCCCGAACGCCACAAACCGAGAAGTGACCGTTCTAGTTTGCAAACTATTTTTGGAAGCCAAACGTCCGATGGGGATTCCGCGGCTTTCTGCAGGAGCTTCCTGCAGCCAATCAGAAGCCACGCTTTGGTTTCCGAACGCTTTGGAAGTTGAACGGAACGGATTCCGTTCGACTTCCAAGGTACAACTGTATTTGTTAGGTTTTTTCCTTCCTGTCTTTAATTCTTTTCTTTCTCCTTAATTTTCTTTATCTTATCTTGTAAAAGACAAGCTGCATAAAATGTGAGACTGTATCAGGCTGAATTTATTGATTGTGTTTTGCTGATCTGGAATGTTTTGAACGCTCTATTTCGATTTTAAGTTAATAAAATTACTAGAAAAAGAAACCGAGGAAACCTTTCACTGACTCATCTTGCCCCATCTTTTTGTTTGTGTGTGTGATTTTTAATCGTATAGAGAACAAGCAGAACATATCAAGTTGATATATAACCTCCCCCCATAACAAAATATGAGTTAGGACCATAAATAAGAAAACCATACATCAGTGAGGGGCAAAAATAGGTACAAATACAAGAATAGGAGCTGAATCTTAACAGAAGACAGGGAGATCATGCAAGCCAAATTGCCCTGGCGATTGCCAGCAGACATTTTTGTCTGTATGATTCAGAGGTATATAAAATAAAGTCCCACCATATTGCACTCAAAGACTGTGGCTGTTCTTTACCCTGCAGCAAATGTAGGTAGTGGGAAACCTTTCTTCAAGACTGCAGTGTTCCTACAGCACGCTTGCATGGATGAATTGCTCACCTTGTCCCCACTTTCTTTGCAGATGATAAATCGGAGGTGGACGGCTCCGTCATGTCCATGGTCTCCGTCACCTCCACCTCCAGCCGCCTGCTCCCCCCCAAGGAGCGCTTGCGGGAAAAGGCCTTTGAGTACTGCCAGCGGCTTATAGAGCAAAGCAACCGCCGTGAGTCCCCTTTTCTGTGCTTGCCTTGTTTCCTGCTGGTGAGGGTGGCAGAGATTTAGGGATGCTGTTTGCTCTTTCACTTCTTCTCTTTTTTGTCCCCTATTTCACATTGTAACTTGCACAGAAATTAATTTTTTTCATGCACCCTTATTTCTGAATCCCCTTCTGGAGTCTTTCCTCCCAACTATTCCTCCAGTTGTCTGTGGGGAAAGAAAGGTCCAGCTTTTCCAGGAGAAGCAGCAGGTGGAGGTGACTGTTTTGGCTCACATGCCAATTCAATTGTCACAAGCTAGGTATGTTTAGCTTGGAGAAGAGGAGACTGAGAGGTGGCCGTGATAGCCACCTTAAATATCTGAAGGGCTGGCACGTGGAAGATGGAGCAAACTTGTTTCCTGCTGCTCCAGAGGGCAAGACCCAAACTAATGGATTCAAATCTCAAGAAAGAAGATTCTTACAAAGCATCAGGAAGAACTTCCTGATGATAAGAGCTGTTTGGGCATGGAAAGCTTGTTTAGGGAACTTTTAATGTTTGATGCATTACTGTATTTTAATATTTTGTTGGAAGCTGCCCAGAGTGGCTGGGGAAGCCAAGCCAGATGGGCGGGGTATAAATAATAAATTATTATTATTATTATAAAGAGTCCCTCCGGAGGTGGCAAACTCTCCTTCCTTGGAGGTTTTTAAGCAGAGGTTGAATGGCCACCTGTCAGGGGTTCTTTAGCTGCCATTCCTGCATCACAGGGGGTTGGACTAGATGATGGTGATGATACTTTTTTTATACCCCACCCATCTGGCTGGGTTTCCCCAGCCACTCTGTGCAGCTCCCAACAGAATATTAAAAACACAATAAAACATCAAACATTAAAAACTTCCCTAAACAGGGCTGCCTTCAGATGTCTTCTAAGAGTCAGATAGTTGTTTATTTCTTTGACATCTGATGGGAGGGCGTTCCACAGGGCGGGCGCCACCACCAAGAAGGCCCCCTGCCTGGTTCCCTGTAACCTCCCTTCTCACAGGGAGGGAACCGCCAGAAGGCCCTTGGCGCTGGACCTCAGTGTCAGGGCTGAATGATGGGGGTGGAGGCGCACCTTCAGGTATACTGGACCGAGGCCGTTTAGGGCTTTGAAGGTCAGCACCAACACTTTGAATTGTGCTTGAAAACGTACTGGGAGCCAATGTAGCTCTTTCAGGTTATATGGTCTCAGTGGCCGCTCCCTGTCACCAGTCTAGCTGCTGCATTCTGGATTAGTTGCAGTTTCCGGGTCACCTTCAAAGGTAGCCCCACGTAGAGCGCATGGCAGTAGTGCAAGCGGGAGATAAGTGCAAGTTCTATGTTTCTGTGGTTCTATGAGTTCAATTTTGTTTTGTCTGCCAGGGGCTCTGAAGAAAGCCGACAGGGAGCTTCAGAAAGCCGTAAGTAGCCTGAAGGAAGGTCTTGGGGCTTGAGCAGGGATCTTGGGCAGCCATTCCGGAATCCCTGACATTGACGTCTCTCCCCCTCTTTCCCTCTCACAGTGCCTTATTGAAGCCATCACCATCATGGATATCATTTGCAGACAGGACTCTTCCTACGTCTACCGCTCACTCTCCTGCCTGAAAAACGTGCACAGCCGGATCAGCGGGGACCTGTCTTATGCCAGGGTGCTGCTGCCCATTGCCCAGTTCTTTCTGAACCACAGTGAGTAAGGCTGGCCGGCTGAAGCGAAGCTCTGCCTCCGAAACTGCCTTGGTAGGGAGGGCAGCTGCGATGCCAGACAGCTTCCTCCACGGCCTCCCTTTCCCTCTGACTCTGCCCGGGGGAGGGAGACCAGAGATGGGAGCCAAATTCCTGCCAGGGAGAGGCAGCAACTGCCTTGGAGAGTCCTGTCCTTGCAGGCAGCAAGGGGCAGTTTAGTTGCCTTGCGTATCCCTCTCGGCAAAAGCAGGAAGCTGAACTCCAAGCAATGCAGCGCAGGTGGTGGGAGGAACTTGGGTTTGTCACAAACTCGCCCCCAGACATCAGGTCTAAACTGAGAAAGGGACATTTTATTAGAAAATGGGGAAAAGGGAAAGCAGAGAGGAATAATAATAATAATAATAATAATAATAATAATAATAATAATAATAATAATATTTATATCCCGCCCTCCCCAGCCAAGACCAGGCTCTGGGTGGCTAACACCAGGTAAAAACAATTGATTAAAATACAACTTAAGTACAAGATTAAAATACAACATTAAAATGCAGCCTCATTTCAGTAGAAACTCAAATCAAAAACTTTTTGGGGATGAAAACGTCAAATCTTCACCAAGGCCAACTATCCAGACTGGTCCTACGTGGGCCAGAAAAAAGCCAGGGAAGTCCCCAAACAGGAGTTCCATCACAGAAGGAGAAAGGAAAGGGGAAGGGGATCAAGTTGATTCCAAGCCACAGGCCAGGCGGAACAACTCTGTCTTACAGGCCCTGTGGAAAAAATCGGAACCTGCAGGGCCCTGGTCTCATGAGACAGAGCGTTCCACCAGGACGGGGCCAGTGTTGAAAAGGCCCTGGCTCTGGTTGAGGCTAATCTGACTTCCTTAGGGCCCAGGACCTCAAAGTGTTGCTATTTATGGATCTTAAGGTCCTGTGTGGGGCATACTGGGAGAGGTGGTCCCGTAGGTACGAGGGTCCTAGGCCGTGAAGGGCTTTACGAAAGCACCCTCAGTTTCCCCCTCCCCAGGGCTGACTAAAGCAGGATGGAGAATGCTAAATTTATGCATGCGTATGTGTGTGTTTCTATCCTCACTCTTCAGGTGAGACGGCGGCTGTGGACTCCGAAGCTGTTTACAGGCACCTGTTCACCAGAGTTCCCGCTCAGCTTTTCCACAGCCCGATGCTGGCCTTTGAGTTTATCCAGTTCTGCAGGCACAACATTCGGTTCTTCACTGAGAAACTCAGCATCTTCCGACAGAACTTCCCAAACCTATTCAAGGTACCTGGTAGCAAGACTCTCACGGGGCCTCATTGGCAGAAGTTAAAAGCTGTTGGAGAATGTGCAGGTGGCTTCTGCTTTTTCATCCAACTTCTCTTAGTTGGCTCTTTCTCAGGGCCATTATGATTATTATTATTACTATTATTACTATTATTACTATTATTATTTTTAACGTATTTATATGCAGCCTTCCTCCCAAGTTGAGATTCAAGGCAGCTTCCACCATTTAAAAGCGACATTATGAACTACAAAGGAATAAAAACAAACTGGTTGAAAAACATCTAAACAACATTTAGAATTAGCAAAATTAAAATCCAGTTTGCGGGTGGCGCTGTGGTCTAAACCACTGAGCCTAGGGCTTGCCGATTGGAAGGTCAGCGGTTCGAATCCCCGTGACGGGATGAGCTCCCATTGCTCGGTCCCTGCTCTTGCCAACCTAGCAGTTCGAAAGCACCCTAAAAAGTGCACGTAGATAAATAGGTACCGCTCTGGCGGGAAGGTAAATGGCATTTCCGTGCGCTGCTCTGGTTTCGCCAAAAGTGGCTTGGTCATGCTGGCCACATGGCCCAGAAAAACTGTCTGCGGACAAATGCCGGCTCCCTTGGCCAGTTAAGCAAGATGAGCGCCGCAACCCCAGAGTCTTTTGCAACTGGACTTAACTGTCAGGGGTCCTTTACCTTTACCTTTACCTTGCTCTCACAGCAGCCCAGTGGTCAGCATTGCCTGCGCATTAGTTTCCAAAGGCCCATCTCAACAGGAAGGTCTTAGCCTGCCAGTGGAAGGATGACAGGGAGGGAGCCAGGCTGGTCTCTCTTGAGAGGGAATCTCACAATATGGGGGCAGCCGCAGAAAAGGCCCTGTCTTTGTTGGGTCCCCCCCCCCAACCATGCCTCTGGTGTTGGTGGGACCGAGAGAAGGTGCTCACCTAAGGACCTTGGCACCCCCAGGCAGGTTTGCAGAGGGAGATACGATCTTTCCGGTAGCCTGTCCCAAAGCCACACAGGGCCTAATTAGCACCCTGAACAAGGGATTAACCTGCTCCCTGTAACCAGCCCCAGTCAGCAGTCTGGCCACAACTTTAGGAGTAATGGAGATCCAAGGGAGAGAGGACACCAGTGCCGGATTTACGTATAAGCTAAAAAAGCTATAGCTTAGGGCCCAACTCTCTTGGGGGCCCCCAAAAAAATTAAAGGAAAAAGGCCCTGATGTACATTTCCAAAATATGAGATAAAAAACAAATAAAATAAAACCTACATACAGCAACAGTGTTTCGTGTTGTGTAGGCTCCTATGATGTAAGTCATGGGCCCCGCCTGCTAGCCTGCTCCCTCAAATATCCCTGGTTTGCTCCTTTCTATATATAGGGTGCCTACATTCTGCATGTGCAAATGGCTTTAGATACCTATTAGGTCCATCAATCACCGTGTCACATATATTCAACACAAAAAACAGCAACAATTTGTTGTTGACAAAGGACAGCTGGGCATAGAAAGGGCCCCATTACCTTCAGCCGCTTAGGGCCTCATCAGACCTAGATCCAGCCCTGGGGGAGACCCACCTGTGTGGCCAGCTGTGACTATTGAGGAAGAGTCAGAGGTTGTCTTGTTCAGCCTGCAGCATCTCCAGCTAAGGAAGACACCTGCTTGGGACGCTTGAGGACCGTTGCCAACCAGAGTAGGCATAATTGTTCTGGATGGGCCCAATGGCCTGCCCAAGCTTCAGGCACCACAGTTCCTTTGTATAGGAGGAGCTTTAGGATCTGGACTTCCTCCCCTCTCTCCCCCTTAGATCATTGGCTCTGCTCTCTTCCGTCAGTGAGAGGATCTATAGTGGGAGAATCCACTTGGGGTGTGGAGGGAGAGCAGGCCCACTCATTGCAGTTTCATCTCGTTCCCCCCTCCCTTGCAGTTCCTGGCATGGAACAGCCCAGCCCTTGTCGCCGATTATATGGACCTTCTGCCAGCCCTGCTTGGGACCGACACGGCTCTGGAGGTCTTCCACCTGCTGCTCGACTTGCCTTGTGTGGCAGTGGCGCTGGATGTCCAGCTGAGGTAATAGCTCTCCTCCCCGCAGCCTAGCGCCAGGTAGCGCAGAGTAATGGTATTACAGTGGTACCTTGGTTCTCAAGCTTAATCCGTTCTGGAAGTCCGTTCCAAAACCAAAGCTACGCTTTCCCATAGAAAGTAACGCAAAATGGATTAATCCGTTCCAGACTTTTAAAAACAATCCCTAAAACAGCAATTGAACATGAATTTTACTAACGAGACCATTGAGTCATAAAATGAAAGCAATAATGTTCAGTGTTCTGTACTATAAAATAAATAGGACAGTATTGTAGATGATAAAAATTAAAATTAATTTTTTTTCTTACCTGCACTGATGATAGTCATTGTTTGGATGGGGGGGCTTTTATCCATTTCTGCAGTCACACAATCAATCTGAGGAAGTGTGCATGCACACGAAAGCTCATACCAATAACAAACTTAGTTGGTCTCTAAGGTGCTACTGGAAGGATTTTTTTTATTTTGTTTCGACAATCAGTCAGTCAACCAGTAGATGAACTGGGTTCCACACAGTCACAAAAACAAATTAACCGAAAAAGCCTCAAAAACAAAGATGCTAAATAAATAGCAAAAACCAAAGTGCCAAACTTAATCCGTTCCGGAAGTTCCAAAATGTTCAAAACCAAGGCGCAGCTTCTGATTCATTCAGGTGCCCCGGAAACAATAGCCGACAGCCACATCGGATGTTCGGCTTCCAAAAAACGTTAGAAACCCGGAACACGTATTTCCAGGTTTTCGGCATTTGAGAACCAAGGTACCACTGTACTATTTTATATTTATTTATACCCAGACCAGGACTCAAGGCGGCTGATCAGTTAAAATGGAAAAAGCTCATCCTTAGATGCACGGCTGAGCTAATATGCCTTTACAGGCTTGTGGGAAGGGATGGGGGGCTACTTGTGGCCAGATTCCTCTGCATTTTTAACGGACGGTGCTTTTGAACAAGGTGTGTTTGGGCTTTTCGTCTGTCGCTAGGTCTGCCCTGACTCCTCTGCCTGAGAGGACTCCTGTGGACCCGGCTCTGAAGCCAGCCACCTGCCTGGAAGCTTACCGCCACCCGGACTACAGAGCCCTCTTCCAGTATCTCCTTCGGGTCGAGTCGGCTCCCGGAGACCCGGGCAGGTAAGAGGCCGTCCCTGAGACAAGCTGCTCTTCTTAATTTATTTGATGCTTTCTGTTTTGGGTTGTACTCACACCTTGCCCGCTAAACAAAGTTCCCGAGGCATCTTACGATATAATCAAAGTACTGTTGTGGTTGCGGGGTGGTTTTTTTGGCATATCTTTTTCTTAATGATTTTCATTCTTTTGTCCAAATTGGTCGCTAATTAAAACAAATTAAATTGAAACAAATAGACGTTTCCCCAAATATCAACAAATTTAATGTTTTTCCAAAACTGACTTCCTGCACTCCCTCCTGGATGTGTTAATGGTTCTCCTTGGTGCTGCATCATAGAATCTTAAGAGCTGGAATAGACCCCGAGGGTCATCTAGTCCAACCCCCTGCAATGCTGGAATCTCAGCTAAAGCATCCCTGACAGATGGCCATCCAACCTCTGCAGAAACTCCAGCGGGTGCAGAATGCCACGGCAAGGCTCCTTACAGGGTCATTGCCGCGGGATCACATTCATCCAGTGCTTTACCAGCTGCACCGGCTCCCGGTGGAGTACAGGGTCAGGTTTAAGGTGCTGGTTTTGACCTTTAAAGCCCTATGTGGCCTAGGACCCTCGTACCTACGGGACCGCCTCTCCTGGTATGCCCCACAAAGGACCTTAAGGTCCACAAATGACAACACTTTGGAGGTCCCAGGTCACAAGGTGGTTAGATTGGTCTCAACTAGGGCCAGGGCCTTTTCAGTACTGGCCCCTAACTTGGTGGAATGCTCTGTCACAAGAGACCAGGGCCCTGCAGGACTTGACATCTTTCCGCAGGGCCTGCAAGACAGAGCTGTTCCGCCTGGCCTTTGGTTTGGACTCAGTCTGACCCTTATGTTTCCCTCCCCTTATGGTCTTGATTTATCGGCTACTTTAAAATGAGGCTGCATTTTAAATTGCATTTTAACCTGTATTTTAAATTGGTCCCCCCCCTTCTCTTTTCCCCCTATTATGTTTTTACTGTGATTTTATTGGTGTTAATAATTAATACCCTGGGGAGGACGGGGTATAAATATTTTTTTAAATTATTATTATTATTATTATTATTAAAAACCTCCAAGGAAGGAGAGTCCACAACCCCTGAGGGAGTCTGTTCCACTGTCAAACAACTCTTACTGTTCCTGATGTTGAGTCGGAATCTCCTTTCTTGCAACTTGAAGCCATGGGTTCGAGTCCTACCCTCCAGAGCAGGAGAAAACAAGCATGCTCCCTCCTCCATGTGACGGCCCTTAAGATATTTGCCCCTTTAGTCTGATACGGGTTCTTCCATTGTGGTCCCGTCCCGTCCCCCAGGTTGACTCCCATCCGCCAGCTCCTGGGATCCATGGCCAGTTCCCCTCGCGTGGTGCAGTGTGCGGAGAGCGTCCCTGTCTTACTGCAGCTCTACTTTGGAGTCGTAGCCGAGGTAAGGGCTCGGATCTGTTCCAGTTGCATTTCCTCCAATACGCCTGCTTCAGTGAAGGTTTTAAACTAGGGCTTTAAAAATTCAAACGTCAAAAGTGCATCCAATGCTTAGGTATCTGGGTTCCTCCCCTCCTCCCAAATCTGTATTCAGCTCCTGTTTTGATTCCAGAGTGTAGGAGGGTATTCACTGTGGCCAGCATCATGGCACTGAGTCTTCTACAAGGCTGGATTGTTCCATGTTACAGCCTTGAGAAGTGATGGCGTTGACAGAGAGAGAGAGAGATAGCTGATTTGTGCCTACTTACCATGCAGACTGGCACTTGCTTCTGAGTAAGCATGCAAAGGATGGCATCATTAGGCCACAGTCCTCAGCACACTTACTAGGTAGTAAAAGTAAGGTAAATGACCCCTGGACAGTTAAGTCCAGTCAAAGGCGACTGTGGGGTTGCAGCATTCATCTCGCTTTCAGGCCGAGGGAGCCATCATTTGTCCACAGACAGCTTTCTGGGTCATGTGGCCAGCAGGACTAAACCGCTTTTGGCGCAACGGGACACCATGACGGAAACCAGAGCACACAGAAATGCAATTTACCTTTCCGTTGCAGCGGCACCTATTTATCTACTTGCGCCAGCATGCTTTGAACAGGTTGGCAGGAGCTGGGACAGAGCAACGTGAGCTCACCCCGTTGTGGGGATTCGAACCGCCGACCTTCGAATCCCAAGCCCAAGAGGCTCAGTGGTTTAGACCACAGCGCCACCCACGTCCCTTTACTAGGTAGTAAGCTTCAAGGGAGCACAGTGGGATTCTCTGCATCAGATTGCTGTTACCCAGTGTGCTTTGCGGCTGCATCAGGATTTGAACTTGGGTCTCCCTGGTCTAAGTCCAGCACTCAAACCACTAGACATGCCAGCCCTCAACCTAAATGTGGATTTGTTGTTTATTTCTTTATTCTGGGAAGCCACAGCAGCACCATGGGTGCCGATGATGTGCTCATCTCTATATAGTGAAGGATTTGCTGCTAACCAGGATGCAAAACCATGGTTTGAAGTGTGTTGGCAAGGCCTGGTTTGTGCTGCATCTGCGCCAATTGAAAGCACTTTTCCTGCTCCTCCAGCCTCTGCCTTTGCAAGATAACAAGTAGCTGCCCTGGTGTCACCTTGGACAAAGTCCTCCAGATCAAGGTTGAAGCCAGCAAACTAAGCCAGCTTCAGTGCACCTTTGGGATCTTAAGCTGACCCAAGCCCACAAGCCAGTTATTTCCCATAAGAGGCATCTGGTTGGCCCCTGTGAGAACAGAATACTGGACTAGATGGGCCCCCTTTGGCCTGATCCAACAGCCTCGTCTCATATCCTTAGCGAGGGTCAGTGCTAACCCTGGTCCGGTGGTTGGCTGCACCACCATGCCAGAATGCCGATGGGTGAACTGAAAAAGATCCCTGTGTTGCAAACAGAACAATCTGAAAAACATCAAGCAACACGTAGGCTAATATAATATATTGACTATCAACTGTTTCAAAATTCATAGACAGAAGACGTGTAATATGTGCAGGGGAGTCACAAACTAATAAGAGTCAAGTACTAGTCCATAAGCAAAATGCAGATGGTGGCAGATCTGCTCAGTAGATCTTTGTTGTAGCGGGCGATGGGAGGAGTTCAGCACACAAGGGCCCGGGATTCTCCAGGATTCCTGGGATTTTCCTTCGCTGAGTTAAGGCACTGAACGGTCTGTGTTCTCCTTCTTCTCCAGTTTGCAGATGGGGCTCTTGCAAACAAGCTGGTCCTGGCAATTCTGGAGAGGAGCGACCAGCTTTTTGGCATCCCCGCTTTCAAGGCAGAGGTATACAGGTGAGTGCAGACTCATCATCTTAGGTGGGGAAAGGGCAAAATCTACCATCTCCAGGCTGGGGAGTATTAAGCCTCGATAGCAACTGAAGCTCCTGGATGGAGTAGTTTTGTAATGTTTTTCCTTGAGCCTTTCTTCCAATGGAGCACTTTTCTGATTTTGATACTACATGTCCCTTACAGTCAAGGTTCTTCTTGGATATTATCTTTCTGTTCATCGCCCTGACCTATTGGTTGCTTACGTCTCTATCCCAAGTCTGGTAGAAAGTGGTCTATTCATTTGTTTTATTTATAAAAATATTTATTTACTGCTAATTCTTTTTTTTTTAAAAAAAATTGGAGCGGATTACAGCAATGGCACACAAACTCATTTGATAAAAACATATTAAAAAGTTTAAATCGGAAATCAGCTAACTTATTTGTGGAAAGGTGTATTTCCTGCTTAGGCCATGGCGGACTGGGGGGGGAAAGCAAGCATTTAAAAGTTGAGACAGAAGTTGTCAACTGGCGAGAGAGTTCACAGGACTGGGTAGATGACGGCTAAAGGCTTGGCTTCCAAAGTGATGTGTATATTATATTGCAACTGAAGTACTGACACTGTTCTGAACGGGTGTTCTTTAGCTTGAAAAGGCTTCCCAAGTGCTTACAAAAATTGGTAGTAAGCAGTCTCTATCCAGGCTTGCAATCTCTTTAAGACACAACACTCTTTAAGACAAAAAAATGATGGGAGGGAGAGAGGAAAAAACAAGCTCCATTCATGTTCTTATGCCATTAACAAGCAGTATAAACAGCTTTTTAAAAAATGCCTTGTGAGCCATGGAGACAGTAGTGCTTTTGGATAAGAAAAGTCTGAGGATGATTGATTGGAAGAAGAGGTGGCCCTTGAGAAAATGCCAGGGCAGCAACTTGACTAAAGAAGTGTTAATTGATTAATCACAGGAGACTGAGTCTGGCATCTAATTTTGCATATTGGGGGGGGGGGGGAGAGGCATTTCTGATGCGAGACACCAGCTCTCTTTGCTTTAATATTGTGAGCATCTTCAGAGGCCTTCTTTCCTGTGCACGCAAGAGAAAAGGAGAGAATGCCTCTCTTTTTTAAGTTCAGGTCTCTTAATTTAAATTTTTTCCTAGCTGCCGTTTATGCAAAGGTTCCAGGGTAGCATGTACAAAAGTGAATAAACTCAATCCCCACAGCATATAAATGCAAGTTTAAAGTAAGCATTAAAAAAACAAGAGAAACCAGGCATACAAAACCACCCCAGAATACAGTTCCCAAGAATTTCATCTACATGATGCACATTTGTATTACAAAAAAATAGCATTTAAAAAAACCTACCCTGCCAAATAGAAAGTGAGGAGGAATTAAAGAACCTTTTAATGAGGGTGAAAGAGGAGAGCGCAAAATATGGTCTGAAGCTCAACATCAAAAAAACGAAGATCATGGCCACTGGTCCCATCACCTCCTGGCAAATAGAAGGGGAAGAAATGGAGGCAGTGAGAGATTTTACTTTCTTGGGCTCCATGATCACTGCAGATGGTGACAGCAGCCACGAAATTAAAAGACGCCTCCTTGGGAGAAGGGCAATGACAGGCCTAGACAGCATCTTGAGAAGTAGAGACGTCACCTTGCCAACAAGGTCCGTATAGTTAAAGCCATGGTTTTCCCAGTAGTGATGTATGGAAGTGAGAGCTGGACCATAAAGAAGGCTGATCGCCGAAGAATTGATGCTTTTGAATTATGGTGCTGGAGAAGACTCTTGAGAGTCCCATGGACTGCAAGAAGATCAAACGCATCCATTCTTAAGGAAATCAGCCCTGAGTGCTCACTGGAAGGACAGATCGTGAAGCTGAGGCTCCAGTACTTTGGCCACCTCATGAGAAGAGAAGACTCCCTGGAGAAGACACTGATGCTGGGAAAGATGGAGGGCACAAGGAGAAGGGGGCGACAGAGGACGAGATGGTTGGATAGTGTTTTCGAGGTTGCCAGCATGAGTCTGACCAAACTGCGAGAAGTAGTGGAGGACAGGGGTGCCTGGCGTGCTCTGGTCCATGGGGTCACGAAGAGGCGGACACGACTAAACGACTAAACAACAACATCATTTTTAAAGAGTTTTGGAGATGGATAAATGTTATTGATAATAATTTATTTTGGATAAATATTATTAATAATAATTCACGTTATTAAGTAGCCAATGTAACACCCATTTAAAAAAATGTTTTCAGGGCAGATCCTAGACCTTACAGGCCAATTAGCTTAATGTCTGCTGGAAAATATGGTTTAAAATAAAAGAAATAAGCATATGATATAGAAGAAAAAGCTTTCCTGAAGCAGAGACAGCATGGCTTCTGCAAGGGCAAGTCTTGTCCCACAAACCTACTACTGTTCTTTGAGAACATCAACAAACATATAGATAGAGAAGATCTGGTTAGCATAGTGTACTTGAAGTTTCAAAAAGCTTTTGACAAAGTAGCAAAGACTCCTAAATAAAGCTTAGGTTACTTAGAGGATGTTAGGCTAGGTAGGCCATTGAGCTGATCCAACAGGCTCTGCTGATCATGTTAGTAACCTAACACAGGGCAGTTTCTAGGCTGCTTACAATCAAGTTTTTTAAACACACAAAATTCTTACAAACGAGGGCAACCAAAATGTAACAAAATAATAGATAAAATGACACCAGATTCCAAAGAAAACAAAAACATGGGCAATCTGAAATCAACGCTAGCCTTCACAGCAGCATCACGTTCCATTAAACACTGGAGATAAGGACAGACGGCTGGCACCAAAGAGATGTTTGTGTCGTCACCAAACAGGATTCGCTAGGGAGAGCATTTCACTGGCTAAAAAGGCCCCGTCCCTTGTTGGCATCCTCCAAACCTCTCACAGAAGAAGCACCCAAATTGTTAGAATTCCTGCTCCGTGATTGCAGTCATAGGATTGTTGTCTTTCACACGACGGCATATGTTTTGACTCCACAAAGTGGGAAGTGACGGAGACAGGATGTTTGTGTTACTGTGTTCCGTGAAGTGGGACTATTGTCCTTTGTTCTGTTTCTCTTTGCTGTCTGATGCTAGAGAGAGAGGGAGCCGTATTGCAGTGCTCTGTGTGTGTTTATATGTAAATAAAGTAGATTAGCCAAAATGCTGAGTTGCTGAGGTCTGTCACGCATGATGCGCAAACTCTGCGGATCCCCAAGTGTGCCGATGTCTGTTGGCTGAGATGTTCGGGCTGAAGAAAGCTTATGAAGCTCCCAAACGATCGACCAGGAGGGAGAGAACATGCCAGTCGGGCATGTGTCCATGCCAGGGTCCTACTCAAGTGTAGGCTGAACTCCTGACACAAATAAGGACTTCAAAGGGTGGTCTTGGGGTCTAGGAAGATTCCTGCTGAATCGCTTCCCAGCCACAGAATATCAAGAAAGTATTTGCTGGGGAAATGTGCAGATGAGATGAATGGATCAGAGCACAGCACAAATCAATTGTTGGGATTTCTAACTGATCCTCTCTCCTTGGCCTTCTGTCCCGAGTTTCGATTTTGAAAGAGCCCCTTTGACCTCTCTCCATCGCTGACACATTGCTCCTCCGTTGCTTAGCAGTCTCTGCCATCTTTGGCAAGGTCCTGCTCCAATTGCAGGTCCCACCGGATGCTAATTCCGCTTGGAAACTCGGGAGCTGGGCAGGGGAAGAGAAAGCCTCAGATTCTCAACACCAGTTGCAGCGTTTGGGACTTTTCTGTTTATAGAAAAGGTAAGAGGAGGAATGAAAGAAGTTTGTAATATTCTGCATGGCCTGGAGAAAGGTTTTCTCCTAACATTAGAATTCATGGGATGGAGCTGAAGGTTGGAAGATTCAGGATAGGTTTCAAAAAGCCCTTCAAGGCAGCTCATCGGTTCTGCGGAACTCTCTGCTGCAGGACGCAGTTTTGACCACCCGCCTGGATGGCTTGAAAAGAGAATTAGACCAATTCGTGGAGGAGAGACCTATCGAAGGCTACTAGCCAGGATGGTCATGCTCTGCCTCTACGAACAGTGTCACAGTCCGGTTCATGGGCAATCGAAGTCCCGGCTGAGGACATCAGGACCAGGGCAAGATGGAGGGGTGGGAGCAGGAACGGGGGTCCAGAAGCCAGGAGTCGTGAAGCCAAGAGTCCGAGGGTCAGAGAGCCGGGAGTCAAGAAGTCAGGTGTCCGAGGATCAAGAAGCAAGGAGTCACAAAGTCAGGGGTCCAAGGATCAAGAAGCAAGGAGTCACGAAGTCAGGGGTCCGAGGATCAAGAAGCAAGGAGTCACGAAGTCAGGAGTCCGAGGATCAAGAAGCAAGGAGTCAAGGAACCAAACGCAGCAAGGCAGTGAACGTGTTGCTGTGGCAAAAGAGCCGAAGGCAAATGCTGACCTAATATCCCTTCCCAGCTCTTGCCACCAAGAGCTGTGAGTTACCAATCGGCCTCACCTGTGCGGCTGCGCCTTGCCTCTTCAGAACAAACTTAGGAAGGCCCCAGTCCTGCACAGTCCTATTGGTCACAGGGCCTGGCTCCTGCACGCACTCCTGACACAGAGGCCATAATGCTTCTGAAAACCAGTTGCCGGAAACCAAAGCAGGGGAGGGAGTTCTTGTGCTTGAATTCTGCCACTGTGAGAATGTGATGGTGGACTAGATAGGCCATTGGCCTCATCCAGAAAGCTCTCCTTTTATGTTCTTATGTGTGTGTTCACTGCAGAAGAAATTTTGAAGGAATTATGACAGGCAAAGAACAACACAGCCTCCAAATTGGATTTCCAGGGGCGGATGAAAAGGGGAGTTTTTCCCCAGGGAAAAAAGAGGGGAGGCACCCCAGCAAATATTTGCAAACGCTTTGAGGCTCAGAAAACAAATTCCAAGCAAAAGCAAGCAGATTTGATTGAAGCGACCTGACAGATGCAGTTGGCATTTGCCCTGCAAGTTTTGAATGAAATGGATTTAAAAATCCTTGCTATAAAGAGACCCTGAGAGTAATGACTTAGGAAGGAATTAATAATTCAAGGCGGAGGCTG